TAACAACCCTCAAAATCACCAACAAATTATTGTCCAATTTAGTAATTCAAGATATTTTTTTTTCATAAACTCCAATCATTATAATTCAGTTCACCTACTATGTTTTCTATGAAATTAATTGTTGCCTAGAAACCTATTAGAGAACAACATAAAATGTGTTGCAAACACTGACAATCATTACAATTGTTATTAAAGGGAGTCCTTTTCAAATTAAAAGGAAATAAATCTAATCAAGTGTTAATAAATTTACTTAAAAAAATAGCAAAGTAATTAAATGATTTTAAAAAGAATCTGCCTTTACGTAAAAGACCCATCAATCCAAATGTTTATCTGATCACAAGTTCTTTATGTAATGCATTCATTAAATACTTTGCTTTGTTGTTTGGATGTAGAAGATAAGTGTGAGATGGATTAAGGATAAGAAAACAAATTAGTTTCTACATCAGATAATACATTTTTTTTCCCCTGGAATATTATGATTGAGATAAACATATTTCAAAGTCAAGGTTGAAGTTGACAAGCTTGATTTATAGCTGGAGGTTATTAAATAATAGGCTTAATATGTTTTAAGGTTCTCACCAGAATTTATCTTTATTTTTTTTAACATTTCTTGGTAGTTTGCCAGTTACAAAAAGATAACATTGTCACTTTTTTGTTCACTAACAATATATCATTTGTGTAAATATAGTCAGTCTCTCTTTTATAGAGGTCGTATGAACAAACATAAATAAAAGTAATTTAAGTCACTAAAAGTCGTAGAATTATAAAATTTAACATGGTATCTAATGAAAGCCTGAAAGCCAAAGACGATAACCAGAATATTGGGATATCGGATTCGGTGACCTGCTTAAAATTTTTTTTTTCCATATATAATTTTTATTGAGTCAAAGCAGAAATTTACATCACAATCTGTGTGCCATGTAGGTATAGCACAATACATATCAACTTGGATAATAACGATAGGTAAACATATTTTCGTGTTGACACAAACGGTTTTTTGAGCTGAATAATCGTAATTTGTCGGCAAGACATTGATTCCTGCTGTGACATCGGTCTATTCAGGTCTGGTTCAAGACGTTAACCAAAACACATATTTAGTTTAATGTGTAGTGATATGCAATTGTACCGTTTTACAATTTTTTTGAGTTTGTAATATTAGTATTGGGAAGGGGGGTACAGAAAAGAAGGGGGGGGAGGAACAATAGGGATGTGGAGTTCTCATCTTAACCCGAACTAGTTGTGAATTCAAGTGACTGTTGGCCATGGCTGCCTCATTTGTTCAAATAAACCAGCTTATCATCAGTTTTTTAGGTCCTCAGCCGCCCATCCTCTCTGAACCCACAAATGCTGTTGGAGGTGTGCAGTTTGTCACCTACAGGACCAGCTATTCCAGTCTCGGTCATGTTTGTCTGCACACCCGTTTAGCCTACAAGCCATTTGTTCATAAAAGCTTATTGTATCCAGCCTGCTACTAGTAGCTTCCACCAAGGGGATCAGTGTACTCTTCCAGTTGAGTGCTAAATGTACTTTTGCTACCGTGAGAGTGTTTTAAATCACCTTGTGATGAGGGTGTGTCGCTAGGTCAGGGACCAACTGCAAGAGGTAGCATTCTGGTTCTAGAGGAAGATGGAGGTGTGTAGTGTCTAAGATGAGAGATTGTATTTGCTTCCAGAAGGCCCCTAGTGCGGGGCAATCCCAGAACATATGAAGCATTGTACCTGTTCCCTCCTTGCATCTCCAGCACTGCTCAGATGTAACGCTATATATGCGTGCTAACCTATGCAGAACCAGATACCATCTCATTGTGATTTTGCAATAAGCTTCCCAAAGCGGGAGGCTCTTTGAGACCCGTTTCGTATTTACCATTGCCTCATGCCACTGTGACAAGGAGAACTAAACCCCCACCTCCCTTTCCCATTGTGTCATGTAGGGCAGTTTCTCCTGGGATGCATCTGCGAGAAGGGCATTATAGCACATAGATAGAGGGTTAGATAGTTTGGGGGATAGTACCTGGGTTATCAACAGTGGGGGCTTCCCTAGACTGCCTTGCTCACAATGTTCAAACAATAGCAATATATTTTTTACTCTAAGGTATAAGTACATATCTCCTTGCGGTAGGGAGAATTACTGTTGAAGGTCAGGTAATGGCTTTATCACAATTCCCTCAAGTAAGTCGCTCACCTTGTGTATGCCCCTGGTTTTCCACCTTAACACTAACATGTCAGGGGAAAGAGTAGCCAAGGTCTCTAGTGGTGCTGATCTAATGAGTACTTTTGTGTCTAGGAGTAGTTGACTCCAGAGTTGCCAAGCTTACAGTAGGAACCATGAGCATTGCAGAAAGGGTACCCTGAAAGTCTGGGGAATTGTATTTGCCTACAGGGTGTGTGTAAGGTCATGTGGATGCAGGTATGCATCATTTAAGGGTAGCCATAATGGGTGTTGAGCTAGGTGTGATACCCTAAGTAGCTGCACACCCTGCGCTAGTACCGAAGCCCTATAGTAGGTCCTGATTTCTGGCATACCTAAACCCCCTTTGTTATATGGGAGCCCCAAATTTGCTGGGCCACTCTTGGTGGTTTCCTCTTCCAGACATGTGCATTTTTATGGTGCATTGAAATAGTTTAATTAGCTTGGTTGCTAGTGCAATGGGCAAGGTCCGAAATAGGTATAGAACGTGCGGCATTGCATAATTTTGATGGAGTTTATGCAACTTAGCCAGGACACTTCCAGTCCTGCCCACTTTTATAGGGATGCTTTTAGTTTATGTAGGACAGGGTAGTGGTTCTCTTTTGTGATGGTCTGGAGAGATTTGGCCAGCTTTATTCCTAGGTGCGAGAGGGATGCTTTACGCCAGTCAAAGGCATGGGTAGACTCCAGTCGTGACACTATGGAGTTTGGGAGATTTATTGGTAATGCTTGGGTCTTGAAGGTATTATTTTTAGAGTTGAGCGAACCCGGGCTGTAAAGTTCAGGTTCGTACCGAACATTAGGTTTTTGGACCCCGAATTCGAACACGGACATATCACTGTATGTTCGGGTTGGATTTCGGTGTTCAGTGATTTCATGGCGCGTTTTGAAAGGCTGCAGGGCAGCCAATCAACAAGTGTTTGACTCGTGTGCCCTTAGAAGCCATCACAGCCATGCCTACTAATGGCATGGCTGTGATTGGCCAGTGCAGCATGTTACCCAGCCTCTTCATATCTGAGAGTCAAATAGAAGTGTCAAATACTGCTGTCACATTGCAGTTTTAAATAAAAACTTAAAATTATTTGGGTGCTAAACTGCTAAATAGTATTTTACTGGGGTGCACTTCATATCTGAGAGTCAAATCGAAGCGTCTAATAGTGTGCTTACAGCGCAGTTGTAAAAATTCTAATTGTTTTGCTGCTAATCTGCTAAATAATACATTTGCGGCCTGCGGTGCACTTCATATCTGAGAGTTAAATTGAAGCATCTAATAGTGTGCTTACAGTGCAGTGGTAAACATTCTTATTTTCTGGGTGTTAAGCTGCTAAATAGTACATTTTGTGGCCTGCTCTTCATATCTGAGAGTCAAATAAAAGTGTCTAATACTGCGGTTACAGCGCAATTGTAAACATTCTAATTGTTTTGGTGCTAAAGTGCTAAATAGTACATTATGGGGCGTGCACTTCATATCTGAGAGTCAAATAGAATCGTCTAATAGTGCGCTTACTGCACAGTTGTAAAAATTCTAATTGTTTTGATGCTAATCTGCTGCTTACATTGGAGTTTTAAAAAGTCAATTTTTATTTTTTTGGTGCTAAATAGTATATTTGGGGTGTTCACTTCATATCTGAGAGTCAAATCGAAGCATAACTTTGATTCGAATTTACTACATTGGTCACTTGTAATATTGTTTCACTCCCACAACACTTGTTACACAGATCTACATGATAGAAAACAGATTGATATGTTCTACACTAGAAACTACCAGATAACAAGCTGCTATATTTAAACCAGTTATCAATAGCTAATATTGTATATTGCAATTCTGAGGCAATACCCTCACAAGTCAAACTGAGAGGTCAGTTTATAGGGAAAACTATTGCCTGCATACAATTCTAAAACAATTTCCATATGTCCTTTGCAGACTTTACATGCTGGAAAAATACAGGTGCCAACTGCTGTGGCTTTCTGCAGTGTGCAGACCGGCAAAGAGGGCAGGGTTGAGGAGTGGGTGGAAGATGATGTGGAGGATGATGAGGTCCTAGACCCCACATGGAATCAAGGTCATGCGAGTGACGTGTGCAGTTTGGAGGAAGAGGCGCTGGTCGCACAGAGGCACCAGCACAGCATAAGAGGGAGCAGGGTGCAAAAGCAGAGCGGCCTTCCCATAGCACTCGTTGGCATGTATTGGCTCGAGAATTACCAGTTATCCAAATAATACATGTAGCGATCAAAGGATCCATAATAGAGTTGAGCGAACGGGTTTGTACCAGATATAACGATACATTCGTAGTTTCACATTTAGGTGGGCAGTCCGGTGACCAGGACCCAGACACTGTCTGGGCGGTGGTCGGACGACCGGGACCCAGTATGCCTGATGTTGAAGTTAGGAGTCACAGTGTGGAATGGATTAGCAGGGTCTGGTGCAGGGTAACCGAATGCCCCCTGGTGTTGAGCACCAGCGTTTGTGTGGCCACATACCAGGACCCTGATGCAGCTTCAGTAAAAAGAGTACTGGATACCAGAAGCCATCACCAGACTGATCCGCAACTTGGAACAGGATATGACATTGACTGTAACGGCTGTGTGCACTTTTGGCGTTGTCACCCTGCTGCTGCAGAATAACTTAGGCCTTCCCGCTCACCGCCTTATGAGACTGTTTGAGCAGCAGCAGGCGGTAGTGGAGTTTCAGCTGCAACACACACAGGTCAGTGGCTCTGCACCAGACTTCCCTCCAGTTGATCAGAGTTAAAGGATTTCAAGTGGACTTATTACCATTACAGGGCCTCTAAAGAGTCCTGTATTGTTATTTGTCGTCACTACCTTCCCGCGTCGGGAGTGGGTCATTTGCGCGCCTGCTGCCTTCCTTGCATTTGGTAGCCATTTCTCCGGGTCACTGTACGGAATGGAACCCTGATTCCCCGTTACCCGTGGTCACCATGGTAGGCGCAGAAACTGGCATCGAAAGTTGATATGGATGACATCCGCATGCAAAGTCGCCACCACAGGGTTGTGAGATTGGACTGAGGTTCTCTAGAGTCAACAAAGTGCCTGCACAACTATAATGTCAACAGCTACTCTGCGGAACAGAGTTGTCTTTTTTTTATATGTCCCAATATTTTGGGGGCTACCCCAATAAATAAAAAAAAATATATATATATATATATATATATATATATGTGTGTGTGTATTCGCCACCTCATCCTCCTCAACCGCCACGGTCACCGCCTTCTCAACCTATGGGTCACTTAGTATAAACTATGTACACATTAGCAGAGGCTTGTGAAGGCCTTTTCTCCATGCATCAGGACTGCAAGAAATGCACCGCAGGCCGCAAATTTTTCTTTTTTTGTATGTCCCAATATTTTGGGGGCAACACCAATTAAAATAAAAAAAAAATATATATATAAACAGTGTTGGCTTACTCCACCGCCGCTTCCACCTACACCGCCACAGTCACCGCCTCCTCAACCTATGGGTCACGTAGTATAAACTATGTACACAATAGCAGAGGCTTGTGAAGACCTTTTCTCCATGCATCAGGAGTTGAGCTCAGTTTGAACAATGAAAGAGAATACCCTGCACTCCAACCCTCTCTCAAATGGATAATTCTGGTGATCCTCCTGACAGCCATGCTTTAGATTTTGATTTATGTTCTTCCAAAGCTAAAATCAAAGATTCCATCTAGTGCTATTTTATGGCTCAGCTGTATTTTTAATTTTTATGTTATTTTAAGTGATTTTCCTATCCACATTTGATTGCATGGCACTTGTCCTACTCTTACACCCATTTTACTTGCTTTTGCAGCTCTCCAGCTCTTTCCAGGAGTTTTTTAGAGGCATTTTTGTGCCTAAAAGTTCGGGTACCCATTGACTTCAATGGGGTTCGGGTTCTGGGTCAAGTTTGAGCCCGAACCCGGACTTTTTTTCAAAGTTCGGCCGAACCCACCAGACCCGAACATCCAGGTGTCCACTCAACTCTAATTATTTTTTTTTAATATGACACCCTCCCGTAGGTCTGTAGAAGGTCCAACTGGCCGGGTACTGAGGTTTCTGGGTCTGTGACATAGAGGAGGATGTCGTCGGCAAAAAGAGCCAACTTTTGTGTACCTCCTGGGGTGTCCAAACCTTTTATGCACATGCAATGTTTAATGAGACGTGTCAGGTGTTCAAGGCATAGAATAAAAATAAAAATAAGCCTGGACAGTGGGCACCCCTGGCGAGAGCCTTTGCTAAATACTCTGGCTGATGGCTGTTGACAGAGGGCTAGAATGCTGGACAGGTAGGAGGAGGGAAACTCCATTCTGGTCAGAGTCTGCTACATGTAACCCCAATCAGGCGGTCAAACGCCTTTTCGGCGACAAGCTCAAGAACCAGTGCCTGCTGGGAGGAATTGTGGGCCCAGTCAATTAAGTTGAGAAAGTGTTTAGCGTTGTCCCCCACCTGTCTCTGGTGTTGTCCCCCATCTGTCTCCCCACCTGTTCTTGAAAGATGAGCATAGGGAAGAGAGTTTAAATTTGCGTCGCCCGCAGTTTGGCATAAAGTTTAATGTCTGCGTTAAGCAGGGATATGGGGCGTAGGTTGGCGTAATGAGTGGGAGGTTTGTTGAGCTTGGACAAGGTTACAATGAATGCTTCCAGCATTTCCCTGGGAAGTTTGCCTGTTTGATGTAATTAAAGAGGTTTGTGAGGTGAGGGGTCAATTGCGCTACAAACTTTATATAATAGTAATTGGATAGCCCATCTGGTCCAGGTGATTTATGTTTGGGAACAGATTTTATTGCCCCCCACATTTTCTGCTTCCGTGAAGGGGCTTTCTAGGGAGGAGCAATTGTCTCGGGACAGGTGAGGGAGGTGTACCCAGTCCAGGAAGAGGTCTATCTCTTTGTCAGTGGGCTTAAACGTCTCTAGGTCGGTGCGTAGCTAATACAACGTGGCATAGTTCATTAACTATGCCAGTTCATTAACTATGTCCTGAGGGTTATAGAGTTTGTCCCCCTGCTTTGATGTCACGTAGGGAATTTTGGGCTGGAGGTATTTTTGTTTTAGCATCCTAGCAAGGAGCTTGCCCACTTTGTTGCCTGAAGTGTAGTAAGATTGTTTGAAGTAGCTCAGATGTTTTTCAGTGATTTGTAGTTGTAGGGAGTGAAGTTCAGCTCTAAGTGCCAGCAATCGTCTGTGGATTTGTTTGAAAGGGTTTGTTTTGTGTTTGGCCTCTGCTGCAGAGATTTCCTGAACAAGTGCAGGTAGGTGTTTTTATTTGGGAGCCTAGCTATATTAGTTTTCCCCTCATGACTGCCTTATGTGCTAGCCATTTGGTGGGAACCAAAGTCGCACAATGTGTGTGAGCCTTGAAGTAATCAACTAGGTGTGCTTTAAGTTTGAGGAGGCAGTCTGGTTTATCTAAAAGAGCTTTGTTTAACCACCATGCTCCCCAACCTCTGGCTGGGTGCAGAATTTTTATGGTTCTCATTAGCTTGGCATGGTCCGACCATGTAATGGGGCCAATATGCATCTTAGTTGCATGTGGCAGGGTACTCTTGTCTAAGAGACATAGATCTATTATGGTGTAGGTCAAGTGGATCGATGAGTAATATGTGTAGTCCCTCGTGCTGGGGAATAGGTTTTGCCAGACATTGTAGTAATCATGTGAGTGGAGCAAGGTGGTTAAGTTGTGACTTAGAGAGATTGATTGTAGGCTCTTTGGATATCCATTGGTGGGTCAGAGGTGCAATTTAAGTCCCCACAGATAACAGGGTGCCTGGCTTTGTACTGTTCTATTTTGCGGAAGGCCATGCTTAAGAAGGACTTCTGTGTATCGTTCAGAGCTTATAAGGAAACAACAGTTATCTGAAGGCCATTGAGGGAGCCCACTAGTATCAATAGCCTGCCATCTCTGCTAGCATATTGGTTAGAGGGAGAAAATACCCAGTCGCTGTGGAAGTATATGGAGACACCTTTCGACTTGGTATGTGACATGACATGGTAAGCTTCGGCATACTGTTTGACGTTAAACTTGGGAGGTTTCGGATGCAAAAGTGGGTCTCCTGCAATCATGCAATGGCTAGATTTGGTCATTTCCTGGGCAGTGAGTCTGCATTTATGAAGGCTGTTAAAGCCTTTAACAATCATAGAAAGAATCTGAAGGGAGTCAGCCATTGTCCTTAAATAGTTGTATGCTTAGCCTTGAATTTTGAAATGTCTCTAGTGTGTAAAGTGAGAACTCAGGGGAGCAGGACAACAAAAACAACCTTACAACATAACTAAAGTATATACATAGCACCATCTCCACAGTTGGCACTCCTCTTGGGTGAGGCACATGCCAGACATCACATCTAGCTGCTGTGCCCATCCTTGGGGGTACGCTGAGTGTCCGGAGTGAGCCGTGAATAACCCTGTTATGGTTGCCTCCAGGCTGGCTGGAAGTTGGACCATAGAAAGGATGCTCCTAGTGCTCACCAAAGGGCCATCAGCACCGTAGACACTATAAGCACTGCAGACTCCACAAACTGCCACTGCTGGGCTGGAATCTCGCTGTCTGCTATCCACCCTGGACCTACGACCAGGCTCCAGGTTCCAGTAGGTGAACCTATTCCTTCTGTAGAGCGAAGCAGGATCAGGAACAAGAGCTCAGTAGCTAAGGGAGTATGAAGAGCATAGCAATCCCTGTAGTGATTATAGCTGTCCCCTACAAACATGAGTCGAGGCTACAAGTTAGAGGGTCAAGTAGTTATGTTTAATTGGCACCAAAGGGCCTTCTTTTATGGAGGACTGCCCACAGGGTTTTGCTGAACAACCAATAAACACATAACATACAGTAAAAACACACCCATCAATAACACACAAATCCTCCCCTCTGCCTGTGATATAATTACTGAACACAATGGGTTAAAGTAATTATCACAGGCAGGAAAAATACAGTTTTTATACATACACTGTAACTTTAAAAATATACATCCAAGCTTCCTAAAAAAGGTAAGGCTTTCAGTTCCAAGAATTTGGCTACACATGCCGCTGACCTTGTTCGAAAGAACAAAGATGGCCACCACCACGTGTTCGTTTGCACGAACTGCGGCCACCCAGTGGTCGGCAATTTACCTACAGCAGGCTCCCAGCCTGGGAGGTAAATTGCCTGCACACTTCCACTTCTGGGTGGTCCGCCTGTGTGGTATTTGGTTCAGTAAGCCTCATTTACTGAACCAAGTGTGATGAAGCCTGTCTTAAAGGGGCATTGTCCCAATTTTCCCTATGTCCCAAAAATGTGCTTAAAGGGCAAGCACCAATCCCATAAAAGTCCATAAGCCCCAATATGCTCACAGACTGTTCTTAAAGGGACATACACACCAGGGCCATAGTCATGAGGAAGGAGACTGGCAATAAGGTTTTGCCATAATACAGGGAAGCAGGGCAATTTGTCATTTAAAGAGACAGTTACAAAAGACATTTTGTAACAGACCCTAAATGATTTGCCTCGTAACACTGCCTCGTAACACAAAGTTGCGCCCCTATTTTGTGCCTCTAGGAGTCCCAATGGGTACGCATCTAATATGACCGCTATAGTTGACCAGAGCGTGGTGGCCCTGAATGTGGAACTGACACAGGAAGCACCTCTAGTGACCGTCTGAGTGTCTGTCACGAGAGGTGTCACTAGGAGGAGATGCTGATTGGTGTAGCATTTTGCAGCCAATCCTATGGCAAAGCATTGGATTGGCTGAGATCATCAAGCTTGATGATCTGAGCCATCGAGGCAGGGCCAGTTGAGGGGAGACCAGCACAACATGGGGAATAAAAGGTGAGTAAAAACACTATTTTTAAACACACACAGACACCATGACAGACACACACACACATATACCATGACAGACACACACAAACACACCCCATGACACACACATATACCATGAAAGACACGCACACCATGACCAGTGGTGTATTTAGGATTTGGACTCCCCTAGGAGGCACCCCCCCAATTTAAATTTTCCCCATCTCTTCCTGTCAAGTCCGCACTTTGACAGACAAACAATGACATACACACACACTGACAGACGCACACACACTGAAAGACACACACACTCACTGACCCACACACACACATTCACTCAGACAGCCAGACACACTGACAGCCCCCCTCAAACAGTCAC